GATAGCTGATTTACTTTAGAATCATATAGCAAATTCACATAGAAATAATACTTTAAATGAACAATAACAACATTTTTAAAAAGTTATGGCTTCATGAGGCACCTGCATGAGTTGAATGGACTACTTTTTATGCTACTTTTTAGGATGCTTTTGTGTGCTTTTTGAAACTTGTAAGAGAATGTGAATACGAATAATGAATTAATTCTCATTTCTGGGTGAACTATTCCTTATTAAGGAATAGTAATGGATTTAAAGAGAGAAGATGAAAGAGAGAGAAAGAAACAGTGCAGTGAAAGGGCTAAAAACTCGCTTAGGATGCTTCGCTGAGAATGAGGCCTATAGCCTCACAAGTAAATAACAAATCAAAAATGGCCCCTAGAGCAAGAAGCACAAAATCTACAAAAGACCATCTTAAGCTCCTCTGCACCATCTCAGTCTGACTGTAGTGAAACTGATAAGGTAAAGCCTGCAGTATGACTCGAACTACAGTAGAGAGGCGGAGGAGTAGATATAGCCTTTGTTTCATTATTGCTAAAATCAATGCTCTCAGTGCAAGGAATCAAACCGCGGCAGCTGCCTGCGCTCATTTCAGAGACACTGTGGGTGGACAGTGTAATGGAGACTTTTTGGATGCTCTCGCAAAAGGGAGTAATTGTAGCGTGACACTCCAGTCTCTTATGGTAGGCTGTGCGCAGGCCCGGTAACTGGCACTGAGAGGACAATGGGGAAATAGTCACTCATGATTTATTTCAGCAGCGATCAAATGGATGGTTTAGCTAAAATGTAGAATTCTGTTATTATTTATTCCATCCTCATTATGTACTCACCCTCTTGTCATTTCAAACCTGTGTAATGTTTTTAAATATTTTTTAATTTTAATGTGGAACATTGAAAAAAAAATTTTTTTAAGAATATTCATGCTGCTCAATGAAAATAAATGTGATCAGTGGCCATCAAGCTCCATAAAGAACATTTTTATTATGTTTTTTTTTTTTTCTTGAAGCCCCTAATCACAATATGCTTTAATTGTGTGGAAAACAGGAGCTCAGATATTCCTCAAAATATTGTATTTTGAATTCAGCAGAACAAAAAATGTCACACAGGTTTGGATTGACATGAGAGAGTGTAAATAATGACAGACATTTTCGGTCAATTATTCCTTCAATGCCCTAGAATCCCAAAGTTATGTTATCATGAAACAAGCAATTACATTTTCTCCAATATAAACATTTAGACCAATTCAAAAAAATTATGACAGATAACTGACAAATAACCAATACTAAATTCTATACTAATATGTCTAAATAAAGTAACAATAATACGCTGAAAAAATCTATCATTTGAAATGCTACAATTAATTTATTAGTGTTTTCAAAGTTACAAGACAGCAGAGATAATATAAATGTAAAATTAGTAGAAATAAGTATAAACAATTAAATAGCTAATACCAACCAATACATTTAAAAATATATACATATTATATCGGATATCGGATGACAACCGATACGTTACCAATATAGCATGCATCTATAAATTCAATGCTTACTACCGTTTTTAAAATTAATACTTATACTCTGCAAGGAAGCATTAAATTGATCAAAAGTGCTAAATACTTATTTCAAATAAATTTTCTATTAATCAAAGAAACCTCACAAAAAATTATCATGGTTTCCACAAAAATATTAAGCAGCACAACTGGATTAAACATTGATGACAATTCAAAATGTTTTTTTTAAGCACCGAATCAGTATTTTCTAATGATTTCTGAAGAATCATGACACTGAAGACTGGAGCAATGGCTGCTGAAAGTTCTGCTTTGCATCACAGGAATACATTTTATAATCTATTCAAACAGAAAACAGTCATTTTAAACTGCAATATTATTTCACAATATTACTATTTGTACTGTATTTTTGGTCATATAAATGCTACCTTGAAAGTTATTGTGTCTTATTTCACCAAATAATTAATCAAGTAACACCCCCCACACATTTATGGAGGACAGATACAGATCCACCCGCACATGACCCAGTTTCAGTACCTTATAGACCCCATTTGCAAACATCATCTGACCCAGGGAGCAAAGGCGACTTGTTTCTCTGGCCATCTGCCACAGCACGTCTAAAGAAGCTGCACCATATCACACCTGATTGCGGTTACACTCACACACACATAAACACGACACCCGCATATGTCAAATACAGACGTGAGTAATGGTGTTTGCAGATGACAGGGGAAAAGGGGTCAGATCAAATATTTATCCTAAGAGAAACTAGCCTTTGCTAATATCATCAATACAAAAAGACAGTGACACAGTGACCATTTTACACTCACAGCCAGTGTGAATATGTGGGTCATTCACATGCTGTCGATTCAATTGCGTAGGAGTTTTCGATCAGAATTCGCTGACATAAGCTGCAGAATGTTTTCCGTAGGCAATTTAAGCCAATGTCCTAGTAAAACAGTCTCCTAAAATGTATGTCTGTGCGCATGTTGCTTTAAAGAGTTAGACAGCCGAGGGCTCTAATGCAGTGAGACAGCTGAATCAGAGACTGCCATCAGCAGGATGAGTCTTCTGTGCTTGATTGACACTCTGCCTAACCAAAAAGGGCCTTGGTGGCATTTCCCAAACCAAATTTTCTCTTAATCTCCCACAAGCTCAATTTAAGAAGCATTGGCAAGGATATTTCTAAAAGATTATTTCCCATGCTGTGCTGTTTATTTTAGGAATAACTTGCTTCTTATTAGCAATATATGGTTAAAGGGATAGTTCACCCAAAAATAAAAAAAAAATGCTGTCATCGTTTACTCACCCTCAAGTCGTTCCAAAAAGTCTCTTTCTTCTGCTTAATCAGAAAAGAAGATATTCTGAAGAATGCTGGTAGCCAAACAATTGACGGTAACCGTAGACTTCCATAGGATGGAAAAAATGCTATGGAAGTCAATGGCTACTGTCAACTGTTTGGTTACCAATAATTTTCAAAAGTTCTTCTTTTGTGTTTAGAATAACTTGCGTGTGAGTAAATGATGGCAAAATTTTTGGGTGAACTCCCCTTTAAAAAAAGGAATCAACCTCTCCTTTGATATAAGCAGCCTTGATTAAATTTGCAATGAAATTGAAGTAGCAAAATATTATTTCTTCCATATTATGAAATATGTACATCAATAATCAATGGTTATTGGGAAAAAAAGCACGTAGGGTGTGGATCATTGGTTTTTGATTGGATTTGGCTATGTGGGTGATGCAGAAGAATGCAAGCTTGCAGGGACGCAGTTTAAGCGAAATAAATCCCAACGTATACTTTAGTTTTTGTCTACGATATGTTATGCGTAGCATAAATTTCATCATTGACATTCTTTTATTACAGCACATAGTCTATACACTCAGGTTTCCTTTGAACCTTGATTTATTTACTTATTGTATTTATTTATTTATTGGCACTGGTCCAAAAGGTGGTCCAGGTTGTTTTTCAGAGTCTGAAGAGACAGAACTGAAGAGACAGAACAACAATAAACAACCATCGTCAAACCACTGGAGATGCAACAACAGTAAACGGCCAATTTGATGAATGCTTGTGGTTAAGAGATTTCTGCAAATATAGTATAAAAGAGAACAGATACATTTTTTCACTTATAACTTTGAAAAAAATAAAAAATAGCACAGACACTGGACAAAGATGAAACTTACTAGATAGCACAACGCTATCAAATGAAGTACACTTAAGGCTATGCATTGTCTATACACATACTCCAGTGTATCCTATCAGACTTCTATCTTTTTGAACTTAAAAGATTGGAGAATCCTGGTATACGTCACCAGAGAGAAGTCTGTTCACAATAAGATCAACTCCATGCATTTAGAAAACACAGTGTGAATTTTCATTTCATGCCAACTTTAGCCAAAAGATTTGTATCCAAAATTTCCATCCCTTAAAAATGTTAAGTTGCAGTGTGTAATTTGCAGAAATTGTAAAAAGAACATTTCCAAGGATTCAGCGATCTGTCAGCCAAAAAGTCACAGCCCAAAGTCAGAAGCCAGACGTTGAGTTAATTTTTAACCCAAGAGTTGGGTTAATCCATATTTGACCCAAAGTTGGATTGAAACAGAAGAGTGTCTTGAACTGCATTTATTTTTCTTACCCAATTAGCAAATTTCCAAATTTTTAGAATGTTTTAGAAATTATTTCTAATAAATAGAAATAAACAATTAAAGATATATTCTCTGTAAACAAATCTTATTTACGTTTGCTTCTGTAGTAGTTACATCTTCTTTTAAGGCTTCTCAGACATTTTTACTAAATTTGTTTTTTTTTTATAATTTTGGCACGAGTGTTGCTCCGGGACCTCCAAGAGACTGTAAAAAAACAAAATCTAAAAAATGTTAGATATATTATCTGAAAACAAGTCTTCTAGGTTAATTTATTTAGTTTTATGGGCTTAGGGGGGAAAAGATGGGGGGGAAAATGCTTTCTCATACACAATGTAAGTGACCTATTTCTCCTTCTGCATATCGTGTGTGTAACTGTGGCCCTTTAATGCCACCAGTAAGAGAAACTGATACGTAGAGACATGAGAGTCCTCTCAGTCCACTGCGTTCTCTGTAATGATGTCATTCCAGGAGAGGAACATCAGACACAATCAGACATTAATTTGTTTTCTGATCATCATAACCAGCCTACATTGCATTTGATAACCACAGAGAGTGACAACAAATAAATCTAATAATAGAAAGACCGATAAGCATCAGCTAATCTGTTCAGTTAGTATATAAATTTATCTAATAATCTGAGCCATATGGAGGCTCATGCAGATATTTCCTGTAAGAGTATTAGCCAAACACAAGCCTTCAGAATAAGCTTGTTTTCTAATCTGAGAGATGCACTGGTTTTAGGGCCCATGTGTTTTAAAAAAAAATAAATACGACTTTTACTGCACGAATCAAAACATCCATAACCCTTCCATCGAGGCTCATCCTTCATTTTTAAAAAGAAAAAACTCACCTCCCTTCTTCTGTCTCATCCATATCACTGCTGAAACTCATTTTAGAGAGATGTCAGAAGACCAAAACCAGGTAAAGTATCAAAATCGAACCACCCGAGGATGTTTCTCAGTAAACACTGATGTTCGATGAAAAGCTTGATGCAAAACGCTGTTGAATATTCAGTTTTGGGATCCAAAACAAGAAGGAGGCAACCACACCTCCTCTTCAGAGATTAACTTGTAGGAGGCGACAATAACACATGTGCTCAGTCTCATCACCATATGTGTCCTCGCCCACAGAAACAAGCACTGACGCACAAAGACGTGAATTTGGCTGGATGTGCTGAGCTGCAGCCTCTGAGGAACAAATCAACTTTTTGTCTTTCCACAACATAGACAGTGAGGGGAGGATGGAGAGCGAAAGATAGAGAGACAGGGAAGGGAGGGGAGAGAGAAACAGAGGAGGAGCGCGGGCGGAGGTGATTAGACTGGGGATGGTGATGACACACTTTCAGTCGCCCATCTGCAGTGCCAGTTGTCCGTGTTGTTGTGTTTGTACTTGCTATGTTCTTCAGCTCAGCTCATCATATGTACTTATAAAATAGCTAATGAAAATTAAACATAGTTTTGTTATTCTGACATATTAGTTACTGTGAATAGAGCACAGCATGTGCAGTCACAGCACACTTCCTATAAGCCTATTAATGCTATAGTGAAGAATGACCTCAGTGTGCTGGATACCTCTCAAGATTCTACTTACGTAACAAAATGGCCTTCCAAAATTTAAAGATATACTGCCTTTTTTATGCATTTTTGATTGTTTTATATTACTGGTTTTATTTGTTAGATTTCTCCAAGGAAACAAAATAGATATATTTTTATCTATTTATTATTTAAGGTATTTACTCTGTGTAGTGTGTATATACATGTATATTCTATGTTGTTTAACAGGGATTCCCTAACCTTTTTTGTTAGCCAAACCAAATCCTTTTGACCTAATATATTTACTTCCTCTTAAATTTTAAGGGAATATTTCAATAGTATAGACACACATTTGCATGTTCACAGTTAATGATGACATGACATGCAGGTAAACAAATAAAAATATTTAAAAATGTAAGTTTTATTTTGATTGTTTTTATTTAAAAATTCATTTAACTTTTTTTTTATTTAATTATTTAGTAGTTTTCTTTCAACTCACAGACTCCCTGCAGTTCCCTCACAAACCCCCAGTTTGGGAAACACTGTTCTATATGGTTAAATATTCTGTATTTATCTAATTATTATTTGTTCTGTTTACATGCGATTGAATGTCACCACAATATCGGAATTACCAGTGGATTTTTCTGAGCCTTGAGTTGGAGAATCATGACAAAAGTAAAGCTCTGCAATTTTTGCAACATTAGTGGAACAAACCAAAATTGTTTTCAAACAGGTTACCTAAAACGCTCACGACACATTTGCTACGTCCCAATTCACATACTATCCGTCCTAAATAGTATTCGAAAATAGAATTAGTATGTCCCAAATCATAGTATGTTTAAAAAGGTATGCCAAAGATTCCCGGATGGTCTACTACTTCCGGTTAGAATTGTAAATGCAGATCGATGCACACTCTAAAACAGGGGTGGGCAAACTTGGCCCTTCCAGGCCACTTTCCTTCAGAGTTTAGCTCTAGCCCTACTCAAACACACCTGAACCAGCTAATCATTGTCTTCAAGACTACTAGAAGGCTACAGGCAGGTGAGTTTTATCAGGGTTGGATCAAATCTCTGCAGGAAAGTGGCCTGGAAGGGCCAAGTTTGTCCATCACTGCTCTAATGGCTAATATTGCCCACAACACATTGTGCGGTGGACGAGGATTCAATTAGAACTACAAACACGCATTAAAAAAGTGATAAAATAAAATACAAACATGGCGGATATACGCGACCAACGGACAGGTAGATAAACGGATTTGAGTGATAAATAATCAATGTCTAACCTGATGAAAAAATATAAATTTAATGTTATCCACGTTATATTTCATCTGCGGCAACACTGTGAACTTTTATAATGATACTTTTGGTCATTAACTTTTAAATGCATCATTATACAAACACACGAGCAGAGTTCTCGGCATGATAGACCCGCGACTGGCAGATCAACGCACCTCTTAATTTCTCTCCAATACGGTAGGAAATCAAATTAAACGAAATGTGGATGATGTTAACTGTGATAAGATGATTGACAGGGCAGTTTAAACAGTGACAGAATGCACGTAACTAAGCAACAGAGCGTCCGTTAAAGACGCACTATGATGAAGTAGTATGTCCCAAAGCTTTCCTACTATTCTTCTACATACTCAAAAGTATGTACTTTTTCTTCACAAAAAGAGTACATACTTTTAGGGCATAGTGTAAGTAGGCGAATTGGGACGCAGCAATTGTTTGGATTTACAGTAAGTCCCGCCTCAAACTCACACCATTGGTTGAAGCAATGCTGCCATGTTGCAATGTCTTCAAAGCACAATAGTTACTTTTAATCAACATGACTTAAAGTTGACTCTGCACATTAAACTGGGATGAGAGAAAGTATTCCAGTATTTTTAAAATAGGCGATTTGTGGAGTTTTTCTCTGGTGCTGAATTGATCACGCTCTGTTGATTGAACTTGTCCTAAATTCTCATGACCCAAATGCGAGTCCACCAGCAGGGCTGGATCAATGCATTCACATGGACATTTAACCAGACTAATCATGTCCAGCATTTTGTATAGGCTAGTTGTTTTACCCAGAGTCAATAAGCATATAAAGGCTTGCAAATATATGTAGGGCCTAAGCAATTCTTAATTACAAATCATTCCACAATTCCGTCAGACTTTAGAACGTCATATCTACTCCCAATGGAACATCTTGGTGGTAGGAGACTCCACAATTTAAATGAATTGACACATTAGTAAATATTGCTATTTGTTAGCAGAGATGTATATGTCCAATCCTCTCGAATATGAAATTATATGCTACATATAAACAGCGGGGGAGCTTGCGATAAAGGCTATTTACACTAAGTAAAAATAGTATTTTTTAGTGATATGCTATTTACACTAAGTGAAAATAGTATTTTTTTAGTGATATGTTATTTACACTAAGTGAAAATAGCATATTTTCTTAGCGATAGATGCTATTACACTAAATGAAAATAGCAGTATTTTTAGTGATGCTATTTACACTAAGTGCAAATAGCTATAGATAGTTAAAATAGGATATTCTGCTAATTACTTATTGCAAATAGTGTCAGTTATCTGCACCTCAGCATTGTAATACATTATAAAACAGTGTGCAATAATAACTTATTGAGTGTAAATTTTAATTTTAATTCAATTTATTAAATGGATGCCACCTTATTGGGAGAAAAGCCCTCCCTACACCTAACCCTACCTGATACTTTATTTTCAACTTTTTGATTATTTCCTTCATTTTTATTAAAAATAAATGCTTTTTTGATGTGATTTGAAATTTGAAAAGGGAGAAAAAAAGTTCGCCAAAAGGCAGATTCGAACCCGGGTCGATCGCGTCAAAAGGAGTATGGCACACGCTTTACCATCTACGTCACTGAATCTGACGATCGATGACCATTTTTGTAATGTTGACTAGCACAATCACACGTTGGTGGGTGGAGTTAGTGTAAATAGCCTCTGCCAACAAGGCGGGCTATTTGCACTTAGTGTAAATAGACTCTCCGATTCTTTTTTTTTTTTATTCCCACCAGTTAAACAGTTGCCCACAGAAAAAAACAGGGGGTGCTGCAGCACCCTCAGCACCCCCACTTCCAGCGCCTATGGGACTCTCATTCAGGCAAACACGCTTTCAGTTGCCAGTCTGTTAAATAAGAGTCGATCAATGTGTCCTCTCTAGACGGTCAGTGAAAATGGGGTTAGATTTATGTAGTCCGACTGTAGGAGTTTGACAGAGTCACAATGATCCAGTGGCACATTGCCCTCTACCTGCACTGAGTGGCAATATGACAAAGGCCTGCGTTTCTTTACTAAGCTGTCAGAGGATACGTGATGCAAGCTGATCTGTCAGTACAGCTTCATATGTACCACTACACAGAGGATCCACATTAACCAATTATTAAGTTAGGGTAAGTTAATTAACCCTTAAATGCATACCTCGGGTCTTTAGCGACCCGGGACATCATTCTCTACCCTCTCCCTCCTTCATTTTTTAAAGTTAAACATCAACTTTCTTAGTATTCCTCAATCTATTCATTATAAACAATATAATAAGAAAAAAATAGTAAAATATAAAAGAATGTCCATTTTCTGATTAATTTTTTGTAAAAAGTGTATAGGGTCGCTAGAGACCCGAGGTATGTAAATGTGTAAGTATTTTTTTCTGCGCAACTATATTTACATATCTGATGACTCAATACGTGCTATACAGCAGGCATAAAACAAACGAATATCATCAGCAAAAATTGAACTGGTTTGAATTTCTTTACTGCAGAGCAATTACTATAGGCAATGAAATATAAATGTCACTGCCATTTGATGCTGGATGTGGTGAATAAGCTGCCAGTGATCAAAATATTGAATATCACGTCATTGAAAACTATCGTTTTGAGAATATGGTTGAGATCGTGAATATGAGGCAGATGCTGAATGTACTGGAAGTGCGCTCTGACGATGACAGCGATGGTAAAATCATCTGCTCAAATTGAACCCTTTCAAGGGTCAAAAGGTAACAACATATGCTTTATTTTTTTCTTCTGTAATTGTTCTTAAAATATCAAGAGAGTTTTTTGCTATTGCAGCAGTTAGAGATCCATCTGTGCTGGATATATAGGTCCGGGTCGCTAAAGACCCGAATATGTAAGAATGATTGGCGAAACATTCATGCATTTAAGGGTTAATTGAAATTCAAATTTTATTATTGAATTTCGTTAGTAGGGATGTGCCAACACAAATATTAATTAATGTACTGCAATTTTATTTCTTACAATACCACATTGAGCTTTAAAATCAAAACAGATACTCGTAATATACATTCTTGGTCTTATTGTGCACAATTCATCAATGCACACTATTGCAAAGAAAAACATTTCTGTCTCCATAAACTTCCATCAAAATGCAATAACTTGGCTGAATAAAAAATTCTACATTTAATACAAAATGCGACCAGCTATACAGTCATACCTAAGACTAATGTACATTTAACATTAAAGGGACAGTTCACCCAAAAATGAAAATTCTGTCATAGTTACTTACCCTCATGTTGTTCCAATAGGATCCATAAGACTTTCAGTCATCTTTGAAACCACTCTATTAAAAGTTCATTCACCCAAAACATTGGCGCTTTAATCCAAATCTTATGAAGAGACACGATCACTTAATAAATATGATAAAT